GTGTAGCTTCCTTATTTCTCTTGCTTTGGTCTCTGACGCCCTATGCTAGCTTGCGCCTTTACATGATGCATGCCCTCTTCACCCTACTCAGGCTCTGATGTCCTGAGCTGGATTTTCCACACATTTGGTACAGCACTTTTAACTTAAACTACAGAGCTCATTTGAATTTTCCCTCTAATGCTCCTTTTCTTTTCCAGGATTCAATCCAGGATGCCACATTGCTTTTAATTGTAGTAGTTCTTTGTTTTTTATCTTTCATGACCTTGACATTTTTTATGAGTATTGGTCAGTTATTTTGTAGAATGTCTCTCATTTTGGATTTATCTGATATGTTCTCATGATTCGATTGAAATTATGTATTCTTGGCAAGAATACCACAAAAATGATGCCATTTCCTTCTCAGTGGATTGTATTGGGAGTTATCGGATGTCAGTTAATCTTATTACTGGTGATGTTAACCTTGATCACTTGATTAAGATAGTGTCTACCACATTTTTTAATTATAAAATTATTATTCATTTGGGGGAGATACTTTGAGACTATGCCAATTTCCTGTTTCTCTTCACTTTTGCCCACTGATTTTAGCTGTCACTGTGCCATCAGTGGATCTTGCCTGAAGTAATTATTGCTGTGGTGTTGGTCTAATGGTGATTTTTAATTTTTCTCAGTCCTTCTACACTCTTCATTCTAATTCTTCTAAAGGGAGAGATGTCCCATTTCCCCTATTAATTTCCTTATTTAATTATTTTATATCAATATTGGATGCGTGGATATTTATTATATTCTATGGGTTACAGTCTAGTACTCTGTGAATTTATTTACCTAAAATGATGAGTTCATGCCGAAACCTCCAATTGTAGTTCAACATCAGAAGGTTTGTTCTATTCCTCTTCCTTTCTGTATTTCTAATTTTTTTCTCTGATAGTGAGAAACCTGATTCTTATTATCTATAATACATTCACTTGTTTGTAGTTACAGAATTGCTAACCTGTATTCCTATGAAAATCAGATTTACTAACTAGAGTATTGTATATGGTTCTTTTTTTCTCTTTTTTTTGCTTACCCTTTCACTATATAGTCAAAACACTGTTTTTCAAAGTTATTTCGTGTTTTAGTTAGTTTGGGCTGCTGTAATAAATTACCATAGATTAAGTAACAGCAAACATTTATTTCTTATAGTTCTGGAGGCTGGAAGTTTCAGTCAGGATGCCAGCATGGTCAGTTTCTGGTGAAAGCTTTCTTCCAGGTTGCACAATCAACTTCTTGTCCTTACATCCTCACATGTTGGAAAGAGAGTGAGACAGCTCTCTGAGGTGCCTCGTCACATTAAAAAGGGTTCCACCCTCATGACCTAATTACCTCCCACAAGTCTCACCTCATAATACCATCACATTGAAGGTTAGGCTTTCAACATAGGAATTCTGGGGTCACACAAACATTCACTCTATGGCATTGTTTCAATTATGTGAAACATGATGGTTCTGAGAGGCTGAATATTATACAAAAAGATATGTTCAGGGCCGGGCGTGGTGGCTCACGCCTGTAATCCCAGCACTTTGGGAGGTCGAGGTGGGTGGATCACGAGGTCAAGAGATCGAGACCATCCTGATCAACATGGTGAAACCCCGTCTCTACTAAAAATACAAAAAATTAGCTGGGCATGGTGGTGCGTGCCTGTAATCCCAGCTACTCAGGAGGCTGAGGCAGGAGAATTGCCTGAACCCAGGAGGCGGAGGTTGCAGTGAGCCGAGATCGCGCCATTGCACTCCAGCCTGGGTAATAAGAGCGAAACTCTGTCTAAAAAAAAAAAAGATATGTTCAGAGTGTCACTGCCTCCTTAATCCTTACTAACCTGTTCCCATTCTACCTGACTTCCCATCCTTTTTCACCCATGGCTTGTAAGGTGACCAATTTCTTTAGTTTTCTTTAGAATCTTTGTATTTCTTTTGCACAAATAAGCAGATGCAGGTATGTTTTCTGATACCCCTTTTTTCTTATAGTGAAGGCACACTTCGCTTTTTAAAAATTTGATGGTATATCTGAAAATCACTAAAGAAATCTTCCTAGTTCCTTTTTTTTTTTTTTTTTTAAGATAGGGTCTCGCTGCACCGTATTGTCCGGGTTGGTCTCTCAAGTGAGCTTCCCATCTCCTGGGACTGCAGGCGTGTGCTACGGCAACTGGCTTTTATTCTTTTTGATACCTGCATAGTACTTGTTGATTTATTCAACCACTCTCTGCTGTATGAGTATTTAAGGTGTTTCCAGTATTTTAAAGTTACAAAAAAAATGCCATAGTGAATAACCTTGTTCCATATGTATTTTCATGCTGTTGGATGTTGATTGATTTTTTTCACATATTCAGCCAACTTTGTATTTCTTTTTTTTTTTTTTTTTTTGAGACGGAGTTTCGCTCTTGTTACCCAGGCTGGAGTGCAATGGTGCGATCTCGGCTCACCGCAACCTCCGCCTCCTGGGTTCTGGCAATTCTCCTGCCTCAGCCTCCAGAGCCTGGGATTACAGGCACGCACCACCATGCCCAGCTAATTTTTTGTATTTTTAGTAGAGACGGGGTTTCACCATGTGGACCAGGATGGTCTCGATCTCTTGACCTCGTGATCCACCCGCCTCGGCCTCCCAAAGTGCTGGGATTACAGGCTTGAGCCACCGCGCCCGGCCCAACTTTGTAGTTCTAGAGTAAACCCAACTTGGATTTGATACATTAATTTTTTAAGGTCATGGTTATTCATTCACTTCACATTTCATTCTTACTACATTCAGCTGGGAGAGGAAAGAGTCATGCATCAGTGTATAGATTGTGCTATTCTATTGTAATGGTTTTATATAGGATTTTTGCATGTCTGTTATTCTGCTAGATTTGCCTACAATTTTTCTCTAATAACAGTCTTGTCAGATTGGTATCAAAGTTATGCTGGCCTTATAAAAGAGTTGTGGAGTGTTCAGTCTTTTTCCATTCTCTAAGAGAGTTTGTATTAGAGATTGGCATTATTTTTTTCCTTAAGAATTCTCTGGTGAAGGCTTCTAGGCTTGGATATTTCTTTGCAGGATGATTTTCAATTTATTTTATTTTATTTTATTTATTTTTTTTTTTTTGAGATGGAGTCTCACTTTGTGGCCAGACTGGAGTGCAGTGGCACAATCTTGGCTCACCACAATCTCTGCCTCCCAGTTGAAGCAATTCTCTTGCCTCAGCCTCCCTAGTAGCTGGGATTACAGGTGCGTACCACCACACCCAGCTAATTTTTGTATTTTTAGTAGAGACAGGGTTTCACTATGTTGGCCAGGATGGTCTCAAACTCCTGAGCTCAGGTGATCTGCCTGCCTCAGCCTCCCAAAGTGCTAGGATTACAGGCGTGAGCCACTGCGCCGAGCCCATTTTCAATTATTTTCATATTAGAGTGTTTTTTAACCTACCAAAAGGGTACTTTCCTGTGGCCCGACCTAATAGTTATAGCACTATCTAGGTTTTTAAATTTGTTATTGAGGTAGTTTTGGTAAATTGTATTTCTTTAAATATTTTCCGCTTAGTTAAAATTTTCAGTTTTATAGTCAGGGAGTTAAGAATATGTGCATCAGTTGTGGTGTTCTCTTTCCCATTTATGACATTAATGACCTGTGCCATCATGTTTGTGTTGTCTTCCTCCCTTCCTCCTCCTGTCAGTTTTGTTAGAAGCTGATCAATTTCATTAGTTATTTTAGGTAACCAGCTTAGGTTTAGTGACCTATCTATTGAATGTTTGCCCTCTATCTCATTAATTTATGTTCATTATCATTTCCTTTTCTACTCCTTTTGAACTTCTTGTTGTTTTCAGCCTTTGTGCTTTCATATATACATCTATGCAAATTTTAAAATATATTTATAAGCAAATATATTTGCTTATCATATATAAGCAAAAAGGCTGAAAACAACAAGAAGTTGTATATATACTTGCATATATAAGTTGTATATATAAATGCATACTTATATAGTTGGTAAATGTATATTTAAATAGTTGTGTATAAAATGCATATATATATATTTTTTTTTTCATTTAAGGCTACAAATTTCCCTTCATGTACTACTTTAACTGTATCCGATGAATGTCAGTATGTCATATTTTCATTTATTCAGTTCTACATGTTTTCTAATTTGTAGTGCAGATATTTTTTCCTGGCCTATGGATTATTTAGAAATACATATTTTTTAAAATTTCAAAACCTCTCAGTATTTTATTTTATTTTTACTTATTTATTTCTTTTTTTGGCTACATACAGGGGACTTTATTGATGGTACATGACAAGGTGGGGCCTCTCAGACCCCACCCTCTTTAGGGGGTCTGGCATGGAAACTGTCAAGAAGAGATTCTCATTGTTGGAGGGTACTGAGTACAGCAGGTATTCCCCAGAAGCTGAAGTCCTCTCTTATCCTTTAGTGCTCTTGCTGGGGCTGCTGGTCCTGGGGCACTTACTCCTTGGAGGATATGTGGAACATGAGGTCCATCTCCCTGCTGCTATAGCCAGATTCATTTTCATTGTCATTACCAGGAGTTGAGCCTCATCAAGTGGTCATTGAGGGCAGTGCTGGCCCCATCATGGAAGGTAGAAGAGTGGGTCACACTTAAGGTTGGAGGAGACAACCAGGTGCTCATATAGCCCAGGATGGCCTTGAGGGGGCCCTCCAGTGCCTGTTTCACTACCTTAATGTCATCGTATTTGACAGGATTTTCTGGATGGTAGATCAGATCTGACACGTAGGTGGTGGGGATGTGGAAGACCATGCTAATGGTCTTCCCATTCATCTTGGAGATAATCTTGCCCACGGCCTTGGCGGCCCAGTAGATACAGGGATGATGTTCTTGAGAGCCTCGTGGTCGTCATGCCAGCGTTTCCCAGAGGTACCATCCGGCCACGTCTTCTGGGTGGCAGTGATGGCATGGGCTGTGGTCGTGAGTCCTTCCATAATGCCAGAGTTGTCATGGATGACCTTCGATGGCGGCGGGTAATCAGTTAGTGGTACAGGAGGCATTACTGACAATCTTGAGGCTGTTTTCGTACTTCTCCTGGTTCATGTCCATCACAAGCATGGGGGTGTCATCAGAAAGGACAGAGATGAACCTTTTGGTGCTTCCCTCTAAGTGAGCCCCAGCCTTCTCCATGGTAGTGAAGATGCTGATGGACCCAACAACATAGCACCAGTGTCACCCCCATTTGATTTTAGTGGGATCTCACTCCTGGAAGATGATGATGGGATTTCCCTTGATGACAAGCTTCCCATTCTCAGCCTTGATGATACCATGGAACTTGCCATGGGTGGAATCATACTGGAACATGTACACCATATAGTTGAGGTCAAAGAAGGGGTCATTGATGACAATACCCACTTTGCCAGAGTTAAAAGAAGCCCTGGTGACCAGGTGCCCAATACAGCCAAATTCGTTTACTCCATCCTTCACTTTCACCATGGTATCTCAGGGACACGGCTGGTGCTGCCTGAAAAGAGGCAGCTGTCTGTTAGATGAGAGGAGCAGAGAGCATCAAAAACTCTAGCATTTTCTAATTTATCTTTTTTTTTCTTTTTTACTGTTTTCTAGCTTAAATTTTCACTATGGTTAGAGAATGTATTATTTCAGTCCTTTGATATTTGTTGAGACTTGTTTTAGGGTCCAATATTTAGTGAGTTTTTAGAAATATTCTGTGTTCTGCTTAAAAAGAATATCTTTTACATTTGTTGTATTCAGTGTTCTGTATATGCTCATTGAATCAAGTTTATCAGACTGTTTAAATCTTCTATATCCTTATTAATGTTTCATTTGCTTGGTTTATTGATTAATGAGAGTGATGTAATATATGTCTCTTAAGCATCATATAGTTTTATAAATCTTTTTTTTTTTTTTTTTTTTTTTTTTCCGAGATGGAGTTTTGCTCTGTTGCCCAGGCTGGAGTGCAGTGGTGTGATCTTGGCTCACTGCAGCCAACCTCTGCCTCCTGGGTTCAAGCGATTCTCCTACCTCAGCCTCCCAAGTAGCTGGGATCAAAGGCATGCATCACCACACCTGGCTAATTTTTTGTATTTTTAGTACATCTTAAAGCTTTTTTATTTTAGTTAGCATATTTACTTCACTCACATTTAATTATTGATTTTTTAGGCTTAACCGTTTGCCATCTTTCTTTCGGTCTCACATATTCTATTTCATTTTTCTCCTTTCTTGTCAATTTTTGGATTATCTTTATTATTGGATTTATTAATTTTAGAAGTTAAACAATTAAAAAGCTTTTCTTTTAGTGATTACTTTAGATATTATAGCATGACTCCTTCAGTCATGCACATGTGCCTAACTTGTGAAATCATTGATAATTTTATCTTCTTCCCAATGTAAGAAACTTAAAACCTTTTATTCCATTTTCCCTTTTCCAATCCATATGCAATTGTTTTGTATATACAATCTATATGCAGTTTAGTTTTGCATATATTTATTTAAAAACCCACCAGAGTTCTTGGTCCCAGCAGCAGCAGAGCTGAGCCAGCAGCTCCCTCCCTCCCTCCACTGGCCACTGGCCAGCAGGATGGAACAGGCCACACTCCTTTGTCAAGAACTTACTGGATGGAAGCTTTGCTCTCACTGTCTCCAAGAAGGCAGCAACATGAGTTGAGCAGTTCAGGGCACTGCCGCAGGTGCAACATGCCAGTAAGCAGATCATGGTGACACAGTACAAAGGCATGGTGGGCTGCAAGATCTGCATCCCCAAGGAGCAAGGCATTTGTCCTGGAGGGGCACCTGGCCAGCATCATCTGCTGCTTCCTGACGCAAGCCCTCAACTTTGCCTTTAGGGATAAGTACAAGCAGGTCTTTCTTGTACTTATACACTGTGCTTCTTCTACCTCCTGGAATTCGCCAGAACCCATCTGGCTGCCAACATTGGAGAAATTGGGCACGGAGTGGGAGCTTAAAGGCCTGGCAGACTGCCTGGAGAAGGTCAAGGCTGATGGGATCCGGGGCTTCAGCGTCTCAGCAGGGCATCTGTATTGTACCTGGCAGCCTACCTCAGCGTGTATGATATAGCCAAGAGCATGCTCCCTGACCCCAAGAAGTGACCAGACCACATGATGAGCTGGATGATTGCCCAGGCCATGACAGTGATCCATGCATTCTCCTACCCACTCCTCACAATTCGGGTGGATGGTGATGCAGTCCAGACGCAAAGGAGCTGACATTATGTACACAGGCACCCTTGATTGTTGGCAGAAGCTCTCCTAAGATGAAGGGGGCAAGGCCTTCTTCAAGGGTGCATGGTCAGCATCCTCAGAGGCATGGGGCCAAGACTGGTCCTGTGTTATGAGCTGAAGAAAGTCATTTAAGTGCATATGTCTCCTCCATAGACATGGCAACCCAGAGAATCATGTAAAATACTTAACTATTACAGATTATGGACCTTCAAGAAATTCCTGTTTTCTTTGTCCCGGCCAGAGATCATGTCTGTAGAGGGCTGAGGTAGGCTCTAGAAAAGGGGCTCATTGTGATCACATTCCCCATTGGCACCTGATTCCATGTATTGATTACTGGGGATAGGAGAATCATGATGTTATTGTGAGCCTACAGGGTAGGAAACTCCAGCTCAGACCTAGAGTCCAGATGCTTATAGGACCTCAGTTGTGTTTCAGTATTTATTTAAATCAAAGGAATTGTGTTTCTCATTTGTACTTAAGCACTAACTCTTCTTTTGCAGTGAGTATTTGTAATTATGTTCTGTTAGGCATGCTACTGCAAAACAAACAAAAAAACAGGACGCTGAGAGCCAGAAAAAAACCTCACAAGATATTATTAAATATTATGATTGTATAGAGAGAATATTAGTTTTACCCACATACTTATAATTTCTGTTGCTCTTCATTCTGTGCAGCTCCTCCCAACTTCCATCAGACATTATGTCTAGAAAAGAATACTTTTTATAATTTTATTTAATGAGCATCTGCTGATAGCAGATTCTGGTTTTGTCAGTCTGAAAATGAGTTTATTTCATCTTAATTCCTGAAGGATATATTTCAGTGAATTCTAAATTGACAGTTATTATCTTTCAGCCATTAAATATAGTACTCTGTTGTCTTCTGGTTCTCATTGTTTCTTTTGAGAGCCTACCTGAATTTAATTGTTGTTTCTTTAAAAGTAATCTGTTCTTTTTCCTCACTAGCTGTTTTAAAGATGTTTATTTCCTATTTCTTTGGTTTACAGGAATTTTTACTGAGATGTGCCTAACTTGTGAATTTCTTTGATTTGTCTTGCTTGAGATTCCTAGGACTTCGGAATCCCAAGTCCTAGGAATCCCAAGTCTTTAATCGGTTTTGAAAAATTCTCAGCCAGATAATGCTTCTGTGCCATGCTCTATTTTGTCTTCTTCTGGGGATCCAATCACATGTTTGTTACACTTTATCATAGTCTGTGTTGCTTACCCTTTCTCTATATTTTCTGTCTCTTTGACTTTACCGTCTTTTGTTCCAGTGGGTTCCTTCTGACTGCTCCTAGTTTTGTAATTGTCTCTTTAGTTGCACTTAATCTGCTGTTAAACTCATCTATTGAATTTTTAATTTTGATTATTGCATTTGTCACTTTTGTAATTTATATTTGATTATTTTATAAATCTAAGTGAAAAACACACCAAAAACCCTAAAAATAAAAAAAGGAAAAAAAACTACATCATTTATAAAATAATTGAGCTCCTGTTGATCTGTTTCTGTTGTCTTTTGGTTCTCATTTGTGTGTGGTTTTGTCTCCAAATGTGTCTCCATTTATGTGTACTTGGTTATCTTTGTTTATGTGCTAGACATTGTATTTTTAAAATTGTTTATGTAAATTTAATTTAGCAGCTAAGATGATGTTCTCCTCCTACAGAAAAGATTTTCATTTGCTTTTGCTAGTAGATACCTGGAGTCACTAAAAATCTGGGGTCATTTAAATCAATTTCAGGCATCAAGATTTTTCTGGGCCACCCATATGACCAAGCAATTCTTTTAATTCTACAGAGAAGCTGTTTGGGGTCCCAGCCAGAACATGGCCTGTTTACTAGAGCTCCCATTGTTGGTGGGCCCTGGCTTCAAACTTTTGGCCTGAAAAGGCTTGTGTGGTTTGTTTTATTTTTATTCATTTATTTTAAGACAGAGTCTCTCTCTGTTGCCCAGGCTGGAATGCAGTGGCACAATCTGGGCTCACTGCAGTCTCCACCTCCCGGGTTCAAGCGATTCTCCTCCTGCCTCAGCTTCCTGAGTAACTGGGATTACAGGCACCCACCACCACAGTCAGCTAACTTTATTTTTTTATTTTTTTATTTTTTTATTTTTTTTTATTTTTTTTTTGAGACGGAGTTTCGTTTGTTACCCAGGCTGGAATGCAATGGCGCGATCTTGGCTCACCGCAACCTCCGCCTCCCGGGTTCAGGCAATTCTCCTGCCTCAGCCTCCTGAGTAGCTGGGATTACAGGCACGCGCCACCATGCCCAGCTAATTTTTTTGGATTTTTTAGTAGAGACGGGGTTTCACCATGTTGACCAGGATGGTCTCGATCTCTTGACCTTGTGATCCACCCGCCTCGGCCTTCCAAAGTGCTGGGATTACAGGCTTGAGCCACCGCACCTGGCCACTTTTTTTATTTTTAGTAGAGATGAAGTTTCACCATGTTGGCCAGGTTGGTCTTGAACTCCTGACCTCAGGTGATCTGCCCATCTCGGCCTCTCAAAGTGCTGGGATTATAGGCATGAGCCACTGTGCCTGGCAGTTTTTTTGTTTTTAAATAGACCTTATTTTTTAAAGAAGTTTTGACGTGGCGTGGTGGCTCATGCCTATAATCCCAGCACTTTCGAGGCCAAGGTGGGCGGATCACTAGGTCAGGAGTTCAAGACCAGCCTGGCCAACACAGTGAAACCCCGTCTCTAAAAAAAAAAAAAGAAAAAAAAAGTTAAAGGCTCACAGCAAAATTGAACAGAAAGTAGAGTCTCACATATCCACTTCCCCCACATGCTGACAAGCTTTTAAGTGCATTGTCCAGTCTGCAATTCCTCTCCTGGAATTTTCAATGCTTCCATGAGAAAAGTGTTCCTAAATACAAGATTTATATTCTAGATTTTTTGTCTTCTCCCACATTTTGGCTTGGTAATTCTTTACTACCTTGTTGGTTTGTGATACCATCAACCAGTTTTTTGTTTTGTTTTTTTTTTTTTTTGAGACGGAGTTTCGCTCTTGTTACCCAGGCTGGAGTGCAATGGCGCGATCTCAGCTCACCGCATCCTCCGCCTCCTGGGTTCAAGCAATTCTCCTGCCTCAGCCTCCTGAGTAGCTGGGATTACAGGCATGTGCCACCATGCCCAGCTAATTTTTTGTATTTTTAGTAGAGACGGGGTTTCACCATGTTGACCAGGATGGTCTCGATCTCTCAACCTCGTGAACCACCTGCCTCGGCCTCCCAAAGTGCTGGGA